AGTGACCGAGCGGGGCTGGCGCGCCGCGCTGCGCCCGGCAGCAGTTACAGCGCTGAGCAGCCGCGGGTCTCGCTCTGTCGCAGCAGCGTCCCAGGCTGCAAGCGCCTGGTGCCCTACTGCCTTTCAGAGGGCTCGTGTGTAGCCAAGAAAATTAGTGTTAGAATGAGAAACCTGCCACACGAACTGTTCTAATAAAACAGTTCTGTATGTCAGATAAAAATGCGATTGTTTATATCCCGTTAAATAATATTTTTTTTTATTTTAGGAAATTCATTGCCAGGCTTCCAGACAAGGGTAAGAAGATCTCCGATTTAGCTGAAAAGCTGGCGCTTGCCATCGTGCAAGAGGAGGAATTAGCAAGGACGACTGAGCTGTTATCTGCCGTCAGGTTGGAGTTCCAGGTGAAACGGGAGGCGATGCATACCAGCAAACAGCGAGTTGTCCCACACGAGGACACGCCAAACTGTGAAGGTTCCTCAGACTTGAATGAAAACTCGAATATTAAAGAAGTTTCTGAGCTTTCTTCCCAAAGGCAGGAGGCGGAAAATATGGAGCAAGATGCCACAAAGACAGCTCGGGAAAATCAGAGGGCCCAGAGGAAAACTGGTAACGGAAAGACTGTTAGGAAAGATCAGAATCGTTGTGAAGGGGTCTCGAAGCCAGCCGCCAGCAGTCACCTGAGAGACGATCAGCAGGTATCTCGGAGCAATACCGAGGACGGTACAGCTGCTTTGGACAACAGCAAAGATGCATTGGTTGATGCCTTTCAAAAAGTTACAATCGTAGATGGGGATAATAGTGAAAAAGCATTGGAAAAAGAACAGACTGTGGCTGAACACAAGGGCACTATCTTTGGAGGCCTGCACCCCAAGACACCACATTATATCGAAGTTCTAGAGTCTAGAGCCAAGAACCCGGTCGTAAAAAAAAGCAAATTTAAAACAAATGTGTAAGTACTGTGGAATACCAAAGCCTTTTGTGAAATAAATGACTGTGTAAAATTGGAAATGGTACGGAACACAAGCGTGGTGGGTGATGAAAGAGACTCGGGGTCCTATGGCACGCGAGGTTAATATATTGGCTCTCGAGCATAAAGCGCCACCGAATCTCAGTGCTGAGCGGTGAAACGATTGTCCTGAATCTTCACAGCCTGTCATTGCCTAAGCTACAAAACTATGAAACAATTGGCAAAACTTTCTTGTGGATCAGTTCTAGAGCTTGTAGAACTTCAACAGCAGGTAGCCCTTTGCTTTTCCTGCACCTCTGGAGAAATTACAACTCGCATTGTCTCTGCTGGTGGCAGTGGCAGTTTGTGCTTTGTGTGGCTCCCAAAGCATTGCTATTTCATGCCTGCTGATTAATTGGCATTACCTTTGTTGTTCACTCTCAGGAGTAACCTGCGATACTGTCTCTCTGCAGAAAAATCTTTTTCATTTTTCTGAGCGCTGCTTGCTTTTATTTGCTTACGGTGTCACAATGCTTCAGATTTCTTGGGAACTCTTAGGTGCTGAAAGTAAGCTTTGACGTGGAAGTTGTTCAACGTTGTGCTGCAAATTTTACTTTTATGTTGTTGTTATGCTCTTCCAGATTGTCAGGAGAGCAGAGTGGATCATCGCATGGTTCCTCATCCAGTCAGTCCCCTGGGGGATTTGGCTCTCCAATTACTACTGAAGAAAGACGACTCAGAGATAAGAAACATTTGAATTACATCACAGCAGCTCGGCTGCCACCGCTTCACCATTCCCCTGCTAAGCTGTTATCCATAGAGGAATCCATAGCAATTCAGATACAGCAAAAAGAAGCTTATGAGGTATGTACTCAAGATTTCGCCTGGGAAGTAATTATATCATTGGAATCACTCCTAAAAAAGAAAGCATAAAGGGCTCTTTTCATAATGGTGAAATTGAGATGGTCAGTTTTTGAGGAAAGGCACTTTTCTCTTGTATTTGATTCCTTTAATGATGTAATTAAATCATGTATTCATCCCTTCTGAAACTGCTGTTCCTGCATTAAACAAAACCTAGCCTTATTCTTTGTGTGTTGATACGCTGTCCTCATTGAACTCGCTTCACCTCTGCCTGGAAATTTAAATGTGCACCTTGCTTCTTAGCCTTTAGAGTGTTTTCAGCCCTGGTGTAAGTGAAGGCCTAGCAGTATTTGTTATTCTTAAACTATGGAAGTATCTGTGTGTGCCTTACGCTGTGCCTGAAGAACCCAGGTTCTGCTGGAACGGATTTGGATCCTGACTTTCCAGGTAGTGCCCAGCTGATGTTTAAATCGGGCTGATTCTGTTCTGTTAAAGCTGACATTAGAGAATCACAGGTGAGGGCTGCCACGTGGGGGATTTCAACTCTTACAAAAAGGTCTTCAGCCATGAATAGCACAGTTATATTTACATGTGCAAAGGAACATGAAATTTCTTTGCTAGTTACTAAAACTTTTAATGAAGCCCACTCTGATATGACTAATATTCTTATGTTAAGTTTATACTGTATTATGTTAGTTTTTTCATGGCCAGGATAAAAATTACAAATGAGTGCTTTTTCTAACTTGTGTCCACCTCCTTTTTTCTTTTCTGCAGGAAATGCAAGCCAAGCTTGCAGCACAGAAGCTTGCAGAGAGGTTGAACATCAAAATGCTGAGGTTTCAACCGGAGGGGGAGGCCTCCATGCAGTACAGAGAAGTGAGAGATGAAGATTATTTTTCAGCAGAGGACTGAATTCAAGAAGGGCTGTCGGAGGATGAGCCACGTAACTGATTTTTATGCAGTACTTCTTAAAACCCAAACCTGGATATTGAGAATGTGTGATCTAGGCATTTTTTTTCTTAAAATTTTAACCTTACAGCTATGGGAAGGGTTCAGTATAAACCTCATGGATGCAAGTGGCATCAAGTGGTAATCCCCATGTTACTTGGGGACTGTTTTTTGGACACCTGGGGCAGGTAATCCTTGTGGAATGCGCCATAGTTTTCAGCTACAGCAAAGGGAGCTCTTTAATACGCTTTTGCGGGTTGTGATGAGTCTTCTACGCAGAAATGTGATTGCAGAGGGCATCAGCATGCATGGCCATGACATAAACAGAGGTGCATCCCAACTGCTCACGTGTCTGAAAGCTCGTCATGTATAAATGTGAGATACTTCTTTCATCTATTTAAGATTATCCTGCTTTTACCATATGGTGAAAATACGTGCCCGCACAGAGAGCATAAATACATGATAGGCTGCAAGTTAGCTTCTTAGCACATGAGAACTTGTTTCTGTGCCCGCACCTCAAGATGACACTTTCTGCCCTTTATGTTGTAAATAGGTTCACAATTTCAGGTTATTTTCTAACTCAAATTCAGTTTGGGCTTTAAGGGACTCTTGCTCTTTTGTTTTTGGTGTTTGCTGCAAAGCAAGAGATCAGGTTAATCTGAAGACTTTAATATTTTTATTAGAGGTCTTGATGTTTTTCCATATTTTTGTACACTGCCTTCATACTTTGGAATACTATTTTTTCATAGCCTGATATTATAAATTAAGAGATCCACCCTGTGGTTTTCTTGGAGAAAATGTTCTGGGTATTCTGCAGTTTTAACTGTTCTTTGAAGATAATTTTTTTTTTCCTTACAGTAGCATTTTATGCCTTTTAATATTAATTTTGAAAGATAAGTAACACACCTGAGAAGGATTTTACAATGATATTCCACTGCTGATTAGGATATCCCAGCCCTAGTAGGAGGTCAGTTCTAAAAAAGATAGATAACCTCAGAAATTCCTTGTATAGCTTAGCAACACCTGTTTTCCAAGACTCTGCAGCAGCAGTGTGTGCAGGGCAGTTGTGTGTGCATCCTTGGACGTGCACATATTCCTGCAGGAATGGTGACTCTGGAAACCAAGGGTGCTCCAGATAGGAGTCATTCAGAAAGCTGCATCTTGTCATCTAGAAACAGGGGATGAAGGTGTCTGTCACTTGGTGAGTGCATACATCACTTCACTAGCGGGCAGCTGCTCTCTCCCAGATGCTCCACAAGCTCTCCAGGCAGTGCCTGTGGCATAGGCCAGAGCCTGGCAGTGCAGTTTGACAGGTGGAGCTGCCGCTAAGCTAATATGTGGTATTTTTTGACTAGGTTGCCTGTGATGCCTCTTTCCTGTACCCTCTCCTCTCAGGAGTTTCTTGTTCTCATTGTTCATTGGCTTCTCGTCAGCTGCCTGCTCTTCCCTTTTCCTCGTAACACTTATCTCCTGTCACTAAAGCAAATTCATACTCTGCATCCCTGCACCACCTGGTCCGTTTGACAGAGCACATCATTCCCTGCTTCTCCGTTTAACTTCCACCACGTGTCACACATCCTCCTGCCATTGCTGTCCTCTTTTCTTCCTGTAACTCCATCTAAATACCAGCTGTGTACGTGGGCACCTTCTGCATACCTCAGTCACTTGAATATCTTGCAGAGACCTGAATGGCTTTGTGGTTTTGCCACAGCTGCCCTCCTACTGAGGATTCCGTTTGTTGTTTTGTATTTTGGTTTCAGACTGGGCAGGTGTTTGCCACTTCCAGGCCTTATAGCGCCCTTTTAACCTCTTTATCCTGCCTTTTTTTAAATCTTTCTTTGGGGGACGGTCTCCTGCTCCATCCTCCCAGCTTCTCACCATCACTTGTCTCTGTCAGCACTATTTTTTGGCACACTTTCAGTCATTCACATTCATCCTTTAGTGCCCGTGTTGCGGACACACCTGATCCCTCAGGTGTACGTGTTTCTGCACTCACCCTGTGGCTCTGACTCCACCGCCCCATGGAGTTCTCTGGCAGCTGCAGTTCATCACTCAGATCATCAGTGTCCATACATCTGTCCTCTCATTATTCCAGTCAGTTGGCCTGCTGAAGAGCAAGTGGGCTCAAAAGCTTCAACTGGCTTTTCCTTTGTTGTGTGAAGGCCAAGTTACTGCTTCCAGGCCCGTCTGCATCTCTACCCCTCGTTAGGATCATCACCCTTGTCCCGTTACTGACTGGGCTGTTGAACCTTTTAAGTTACCCAGTGTGGTTTCTCCATGCTGGCTTTTCTGTGCTAATGGAAACTGTTAAGAACTGTTTTCTAGGTTACTGAAATCTAGTTCAACACAGGCTTCTGCCGATCACTCTCATCCCAGCTAAAATTGCACTCTGTCCTTGCGCTTTTCAGATTTACTTGCTCTCTATGCTTTGTCAAGGAGAGGCAGTTTTCCTGATGTGTTTGTTGCTAGCATTCAGCGTGTTGGGGCTTTGCTAAAGTGGATCCCCTGAATGGACAAACTTCACCTTCAAGGGAAAAAAAAATCGTTAGCAACAGGTGAAGCACATTATTTAGTTGTTACATAAGTACCAGCTGCTCAGCACGGTGCTGGTGGAGCCATTCTGGGAGAGAGTGCTGCATAAACACAGAGCCCAGCTTAAGGTATGAATTTTAAGTTATTGCTAAAGAGCTTGTATTACTGCAAAACATGGAAGCTTTCACAGGGAGTTGCTGGTCCTTGGCTCTGAGCACAGGTACGTACTTTGAGTTAAGGTTTTGCGAGTGATAAGCGAAGACTCAGGTATAAAGCGTAGTCCTGTCTGAAGGAGGATGTGCAATTTGTAAGTTTGTAGAAGGTTAGGGAATAGGAGGATGAATGTTGAATGGTTTAGTCATATTGAATTAGGTTGCTGATCAAATATGGTGTTGTTGATGTGTGTTTCACTTGTTCTCCAGTTCCAGAACTTTTCAAAACATACACTGAGAATTGACGATCTTGCTCTCTTTTTTTTTTTTTGGGGGAGCAGACTGTTTTATTGGACTGGCATGTTAACCCAGCAGAAAATAAAGAATTGAAAATGTGTTTCTGAAGTTCTTTATGTGCATAATGTTTTGTTTTGCCTATGTAAAGTTTGCAGTCAAATTCTGGGGGAAAACTGGAAACTTCTGCTTTAGTGCTTCACAAAGAAAACACTGGGAATGGAGTTAGGAAACAGTTGCTATATCGGGAAAGAAAACTTTTGGGAATGCAAATGGATGAGAAAAGATCTGCAAGACCTGCAGCTGGGCAATCATGCAGGTCTGAAGGATGGCACAGAGACAGAACTTCAGTGGTTCTGAGAGCTATAGCAAGAGAGGCGGGTATCTGTGCAGCAGCAGCTGTAGTCCTCTGGTTTTTGCATTGTTAGGGGTACCTGATCCCCAAACTACATGGAAGAAAAGCACCTTTTGGCTCTAATAGTTTCTGTTCACAGCTGTAACCTTTCCGGAGGGAGAGCACATGCAGTCTGGTTTGCCAGCTGTGGTGATATCATCTAGAGGATTTAGCAGCCTGAAAATTCATGTAAAGTATTTGGGAAATAACATCTGAAAGAAAAAAGACCTAAATGCTGCTGTAGGGAATTATTTTGGGGAACTAGGAGAGTATCTAATTATTGGACAGATGCAGAAGCTTTTCCTGGCTTTTAGAGTTAGACCTAGCTGAACGGTGGTCAGCAGTTCTGTTAGTAGTTTTCCGTGTGATGGCCTGTGGACTGCTTCGAAGGGCCATGCAGTCTAAACCAAGTCAGTGGCAGTAAGCTGCAAGTTCCTGGGTAGAGGAAACGGGGCCTGCAAATCGTGAGGATTTGAAAACGTGGCTCTGTACTGTGGAATTTCTGACCCTGTCACAAGGACACGGTATCCGGAGTCGGGGCAAAGAACAACCAGGCACTACAGGCTCTGATGAACTGACACTTGGGTGGGAAGCACTGGCAAAAGCTGGTGATGCTCCGTGAGCATCCCCTGGGCAGCAGTTTGGGGTTTCTGTATGGAACTTGCCGACAATTCCCGTATCGCGGACACACCACAAGCTGGCAGCCTTTAGCAGTCTTGTGGAGGAGAAAGGACCTGGCTAGCCTGAGTCAAACCACTTTTGGCCTGATTTGAGTGGCATCTAGCTCATCATCTGCCTTTAACAGGTTTGTGCCTGCGAGGAGTATCCTTGGGCCGTGGAGCTGCAATGGTATCTTGGCCTTTTATGTCATATGAAGGGCATAAAGGGGACAGGGAGTGGAGTCCTGTGTTGGAAGCAGCTGTGCCCCACCCTGTGGGCTCTGCTGTAGGAAAAGGTGGCTTTTCTCTGCTTTCCCAGCCTTGCTCTGTTTTCAGAGCAGTGTAAGAAGGAAGCATAGTGTCTCTTAAGGACAAATATTTGAGGGAGTAGGTCTTGCATGGTGTGGTCTTGTTCCAGGGAGGTGCTAACCAAACTTGTATTTTTCCTCAGTTTGTGGTTCGTGTTTTGTTGCAAGACCCCTGCTCTTAGGGGCGGTATGTGTGGAGATCACCACTGAGATTTCCTGGTTTCCTAATGTTTGTTTTTAGGTTGTGAACTCCCACGTTTTGGGAGGAAAAGGGAAGTAAAAAAGACAGCTGTGTGAAAACAACATTTATTTTGCTGAGGTATTTTTTTCTTACTCAATAAGCTAATAACTGTGCTGTGTTCTCACACTTCTGCAGCGCTGTGTCGCTGCTGACACTGTGGTAGGCAAATGTTGGCTGACTGTAGTCCAACCATTTTACACTCCCATTGACTTTCTGTGGGATACGAGTGCTTAACTCCATTTGAATCCTTTGTAAATACTGTAATTATTATTCCACATGTATGCAAAGCTTTAGAGGCATTTAGTCATCGCTCGTTTAAAGCAACTGTTTTGATCGTTTGGTTATTAAGATATTATTAAATTGGCCCTTGATTCGGTGAAGCGTGAAAGCATGTACTGAAGTCAAAGCCTTATTCCTCTAGGGACATGGATGTGCAAGTGCTCTGAAAGGAGATATTGGCTCTGTGTGCAAGGGAATATGTGAATAAGAGTTGTGAACCAATTACTGAATGTGAGGAGATGACACAA